AGAATCCATGGGACTGCCTTCATCACTGAGCTATATGATAGTGCTTCATTTTCATATGTGCTGATAAATTCTGTCCTCCATGTCTGTTCTGCACTCCTGCTGTACAGGTATTCCAGGCCCCCTCCTCCTCTTCCTTCTGCTTGGGTAGAGAAGTCATGGGAGATAAATTTGTAATCTTCCTGAGCTGCACTGAAGTTAAATGAGTGAATGATATTGCTTCAGAATATTTGTACAAAAGGGTGTATTTTTTTCTGAATTAAATCTGTGGCCACAGCCCTTTTTAATGAACTCAAGAGTGTTAATGAGCTCTGGATCTGAACTAAGCCAACCAGAGATATAACTCAAGGATAAGGGTGCTTACTCCTGGCATTCTGATTGGGTTTGGATATAGAATAGATGTCAAGCAATCCATCTCTGGAAAAATGAGAACAGTTTTGGGCATGCTCAGAAGCATAACTTGGTATGACTCTGGAACTCCACTGATAAAAATTTAGGTGCCCATAAGATCCTGGGTGCTGAAGGGTAGACTAGGAGTTCAGGGTTTTACACTTTTTCATCCAAACTAAGATGACCTCACTTGTAGATGGTTCCTTGAGGCAGGTGTTTGCTTTGGGTCTTACAGTTCTGAGGATGCCCAATATAATATGATTTTGCTCTGTCTGGCAAAATGTTCCTATTGTACAAGGAAACTGAGGGACCTCCTCTGTGTTCATATGAGTGATGGTGATTTTACTATCAGTCATCTGTCACTGGCTGACAGATTGAACTGATGCCAGGCAATTGGCAGTTTGCTTCTTGGGTTCTGATAAAGAAAAATCAACATTACCAGTAGTTTTCATATTAACCTTCTGTATTTATGTCTAATGGTAAGTCCTCCCTGTGAACTTACTTCTTTCTGATATCCAGCATTTAATATGTTCACAGCTGTTCTGTTTTTCCTCTTTGTAAAATAATCTCAGAAAAACTGTCAGTCATAGCTAATAGGATTTTTTTTGTTGTTGTTTTTTTTTTCTTCCCTCCCCTTCAACTGAAGTAAAGATTAGGAACATAATGCAGAATGGACATACACTTTTTTTTGATAGCATCCCTATATGCATTGTGACATGGATCTTGGGTTAACTTTTCAGTAGTGATCTGCCTTTCAAGTTTGAAATGAAAGTTTAAAAAGCTCAAACAAACCAGAGGACTAGTTCTTCATCCAGTCTTCTGTTAGTTTCGGTCCTGGGACATGGTACCTTGTGAACTTCAATATTGCAAAAAAAAAATTGTGTTGAGAATGCTAATGGAGATAATGAAAGGAAAATGACAATGTTTATCTTTAGTTTCCTGTTTCTCTTGATTCAGTTGAAATATAAGATGTATGTCAGACAAAGGATTCGGTTGACTGATTGTACTATTTCTAGATCAGGTAGCTTCTGTTTAGAAGTTTTGAACCACCTGTAATAAGCATATTAAAGAAAAAAGAAATAGATAGTCATCTCTTTTTTTGGCTCATAGGTCATAAAAAGGTTTCCAGGCTTTGTCAGGTAATAGTAACTGTGAATTAGCTGGTAAGATGTGCATTTAGCTCTGTCTCATTAGAGAGAACAGGTTAGAACTCGTTGAACGCAAGAATAACAGTAAGCAAACTGTTTTTTGCTAAGAATAAAAGATTTCTTGCTGATATCTGTTGATTACAAAGAAAAAGGCAATGGGGAGGCTTGCGAAGCTCTACATCCATTGTAATAAGCAGTTGTATTATGTTCTATATAAAGAACACAAGAAGACTGCTTAAAGCCTGTTTTGTATCTGTAACAATGTTAAATATTAAAATACAGCGTAGAAAATTGCTGGAGAACTTCTAGCTGATAATAGAGAAGGTGTTAGTCTGAAAATACATTTACAAGAATTTCTGTTTAGGTTTACAGAAGGGGGAAGGGATAACTTTCTATATTTTTTAATATTTGACAAAACTGATTATTTCACTCGGCCATGTTTCAAGATGACATGTATCATTAAAAAAATAAATTATTTCAGAATGTTTTTCTACTGTATTTTGTCCAGACCTAGAGCAGTTTTGGGAGTAGGAATGCTTTAAGCTTATTTCAGTTTCCCATTTCCCTCTGTAGTCTTACTAGTTTATGGGATCTTTTGAAAATTACTTTTTTGCAATTCTGTGTGTAGTAAATTGGTGTAACAAATTGCATGTTCATGATTAAGGGTAGCATTTTGGCCTCTAGAATTCTCATTACTTTGTATAACAAGATGGGAAACACAGCTCAAGATGTGATTAGCTGTCTCACAAACTCATTTTTTGACTTCTTGTCAATGAAGGATCCCAAGTCTTTTTCTACAAAGCTGCCCCATAGTCTGTCTTCAGCCTTTGCCAATGCATGCGTTTGTCCCCAGATGCAAGACCATTTGAGGTTCCTGTCAGCCTGTTCTTTCAGTTTGTTGAGATCTCTTTGAATGGCAACCCTACCCTCAAGTCTATCAACCATGTCCCCATCCCACTTATTTGGTGTCTCAGCAACCTTGCCGAGAGCATTCTGTTCCATTGCCCAGGGTGTTGAAGTTGTGTTGATCTCTCTATCAGCCCCTGAGGAATGGCATCTGTAACAACGTGCTAATTAAACTATAAAGGAATGCCAGTTAGACTTTGAAGTATTGACAACTATTCTTTGAGTCTAGTAATTCAGACAATTGCCTACTCATCTTGCAGCCTACACATCCCTCCAATTTGGCAATAAAACCACTATGAGACTGCATTGAAAACCTTCAAACTTCAAAGTAAACAACATCCCTGGTATTTTCCTTGTGCACTGAATCAGTCGTCTCACTGGAGAGGGCAAATTTATCAGGCATGATTTGCCATTTACAAATCATGTTGGCTGTTCCCAGTCACCTTGCTGTTGTTCTTGTGCTTGGAAGGGGCTTCTACAAGGACTTGTTCTGTAATTTTTCTGGGGACTGAGGCGAGGGTCATCATCCTGTTGTTCCCCAGGTGTTGTTTTTTCACCTTTTTGAAGGTGACTGTATACATCCACCTTTTTCCGGTGACATCCACCAATCACCACTACTTTTCAGGTGTGATGGGGACAAACATCTTATCCAGCTTAATATATGCATCCCATCTGGATCCATAAACTAGCATATTTCCAGTTGGCCTAAGTGGTCCTTAAGTTGATCCTTATTTCCTGCAGGTGGTACTTCTGTCCTCCAAACTCTGCTGGTAGGCACCTGGGGCCTGAGAAGCCTGATAGTAGATCTTGCTGGTAAAAACTGTCAAGGTATTGAGTGTCTTAGCCTCTTTCATGTCCTTTGTCACTAGATCTTTCCTCTTTCAGCAGTAGATCTGTGGTGTCCTTGATTGTAGAAGGATATCCAGTATGCTCATAGAATCCCTTCTTTGCATCTCTTGCTAGTTTCAGCTTCAGATACAGTTTTCCTAATTCTATCCCTGCATGCCTGGAAAGCGCTTCTGTGTTCCTCCTGGATAACTTTTCTCGGGTTCCACCTTCTTTAAGCTTCCTTTTTGGTTTTGAGCTTGTTAGAAGTTCCCCATTTAGCCAAATTGCAGATCAAATGGACCCTTCTCATCCTCTATGGAGGTTGTCCTTGAAGACCAAGCAGCTCTCTCAGGCACCTATGTCATTCACGACCATCTGCTATGAGATCCACCCAAGCAGATCCCTGAATAAACTGAAGTCCGTTTTCCTGTAATCCAGGATTTTTTCTTTGTTCTGTTACTTGCCTTACTCACTTCACTTAGAATCTTAATTTCCAATATCTTGTGGTTGCTGCAGCCAAGGTAGCTGCTGACTTCCACATCCCTGATTAGACTGGTATTTAAATTTATGGGTAGAAAATTCAGTAGAGCAACCTCCTAGTCAGTTTGTTCAGCTTTTGTGTCAATACTTGTCATCAATGCATTCAAAATCTGGGTTGCTTGTGCCCTACTGTGTTGCTTTTCCAGCAGATGAACTGGTGGTTCTATTCCACCGTGAGGACCAAGGAAGTATGTGAAAGCTTCCCTTGTTGCCCTGTCCTGTGTGTGCCTCTTACCTCACATCTCCAGAGCTTGGTTTAGTTAGGTTTGGAATATATCCTACTCATGATTCCCAAATTTCTTTTGGTATGTAGAAGCAGTAATGAAGTACAAGTGTAGTTTATGTGAGACTGAATGTGTTTGCCATCCAAAGGTAAACACTTGTTTCTGTTTCCATATATTTCAACACACAAACAGATGATTTAAATTCTGTCATTTCTGCCTCAGTCTATAATTTAATTTGACCTAAAGAATCAATGTACATCTACTCATCTCCTTTCTTCTTCACCATAGAGATGCTTATGTTGAACTGTTTGTATCTCTGATTCTGCATATCCTAGAATCAAGATTAAAACATTTGCAGTATTACATTGTGATAAAAGTGATCTCTACTGGTCGTAGATGCAGTGTAGGAAAGAAAGGTCTGAACTAATGGAATGTGTTGAAAAGCAATAGCTAATGTTACGGCTAGTTTTTTAGCCAAGTTTTGAAAGGAAAAAAACACACCAAACAAAGAAACAAAACCCAATACCCCAATCCACAAAAATCCCAGGAGTGGTAATGTGCTACAGCTTTTCAGATGGTTTTCAGGAACACACTGTTATAATGGTGGTGGTGTATATTAGTTCAGTATTATCTATTTAAGTCTTCAGAAGCATTGTATTTCTTCTGAGGATGAAGCTTTATGAGCAAGAACCTAGAATACCAACTTTGTTCTTTTTGGAAAGGGTTTGTTAACTCCTGCGCTTAACTAGCTGAGTATATTTTTAGTATTCTCTTCTTTTTGAATTTGGGGAAAGAATACCTTGTGTGAGGTAATACTGTCTGCTTTGAATTACAATGAACATGCAAAATGTAAAGAAACTGTTATTTAATCATTAGGATTTTAAACATTTATTTAGTGTGGATTTGGTGTTTCTTTTGGTTTTGTCTGTATCATCTGTTTTAAAATACATCTTAAAACCTGACACAGGCTTCAAGCCACCAAGAAGATGAAGAAGTGGTCCTTGTCCGAACAGATCGAAGTGGAAGGGCATGGCCTGTGACCGCACCAGCTGAACCACAGGAGCCAAAAGGAGGACGGAGAAAGCGACAGATGGTAAGTTTTACAAATGTGAGTATTAACATGTAATTCTGAAATGATGTTGTAGCTTTAATTTTATGATACCATAATTAATATGAGTGTCTTATCAGAATGTCAATAGGTAGTTTAAAAGTTTCTTTCAGAAGATGATTGTAATTAAGTGTTAGAATACATGTTTATTAAGCATATATTAAGTTTATTTTCAGACTATGTTTCCCTAGGGATCACTTTAGGGCTTATTTAAACGCACATTCAAGCAAAAGTGAGTTTTTCAAATTATCACAGTCTCTTAGCAAAGTAGTTTATATTACATAAAGTTACATAAATAATGGAGATTAGCAGAGGTGCATATTTCCAAAATAGAAAGGATTTTACTGAGATACTCAGGTCTCAGGGCCTAATTTTCCTTCCCTTTTCTCCTGATCAAAAACACTGCTACTGCTGATAGTAAAAATTATGACCTAATCTTTGTAACAAAGTTGTTTGGGGAACAGTGAGAAGCTTGGAGGCTGGAGCTGTGTTTTGTTTTCAGGATATTTGCTTGCAGCAGTAAATAAACTGATATTGCAATCTTGTAATAAGAGTTGACAATACCTCGTGTTTCTAGCAAGTATGTTCTTGATTAGTAGGACAGATCAGTTTGTTACACTGTTATGGACGAGTGAAAGGCACAAGGTGAGGAATTGGTGCCATCGTCCTGCTGTTTCCATTTTGGAATATGCCATCTTGCTTTATGTTAATGACCATTCCTATGGTCCTTCAGGATTTAGTTTAGTCCTGCCCTAAAGAACAAACTCAGTTCTCTTGTGTACTCTTAAGATGACAACATTTCCTAGCAGAGGTACCACATTTATACAAGTGTTCAGTAGTGTCTGTAATTGCTGTGTTTTAGTAGTGCCTGTGACTTGACAATTCAAAAGCTTCTGTAAATAATGAAGATTGCTTGTTGGAATATTCCATTTTTGTGAGCTGATTAACTGTTTGAATGAATTACTGTACATCTTTCCTGAGTGATAATGTTGTAGCCCTGATAGCTTAAGGATAGTGATTGTGGGAAGAGGCTGTCTGCTTTTATAGACCTACTGATGCAGTTGAAGAAAGTGGAATATGGTCTTTTCCTTAGGTCAAATCAAGCAGCAAGCCCAATCATTTCAGCTGTGCTTAGCTTGATTCATGATTATTTAAACTTGTTGAAATTTTTAGTATAGTTGATCTTTCTCACTAGGTTAATATTTATTTTCAATATGTTTGTTTCCAGGTCCCTACTCATATAGATAAAGAGAGAGTAAGGTATTTTCAGGATGATGATAGTATGAACCTGAAGGATTTGGTCAAAAATGAGAAGATGAGAACAGCAGAGGATCAAAACTCACTGTTCATGCGTATGGCATCAAAGGTAAGGTGTCATGTGTTTGGCTTTTTAATTAAGCATTTTATTATTAGGAATATCAGGGAGGACATGAGGCATCGGTGCTCTAGGTAACTTGCTTTAGGTTGTGAAGTCTGATTGTCTTGAATAATAATCAAGTCTGTTGTAAGATGGTCCTGGGAGATGTTATCAAAGTGACGGAAACCTGCATGCATGCAGGAAATGTGGTATGTTCAGTTCCTTCATAGAATTGATTGTGCTGTTCCTCTCTGCCTGTAGAATTGGACGTTTTTGAGGTTAACACTTTTAGAGTGTATTGTACACTCTAAAAATTATAAAATTATAAAATTAATAGGTTACCTATGCCCAACAAAGCAGGTTTTCCTCAAATTAGTGACAAATAAAAGCAGCGTTTTCTTACTGTTTAGAATATATCTTCCATGTAGATGTTGCAAGAATCAGTGATATTTGAAGCAAGCTACCTGAAACTCCATCAGGATGTCCTGGATAATGAGATAATTTATGCTTACAAGGCCACACAGATTTATATGTTATGGTTCCATGAGTGATTCCACTTAAAAGAGTGGCCAGCTCACAGGCAGATACTGCTGTGCAAATGGAACGATTAATTTCTATAATCCAAACTGAATAATAAAGGATAATTTCTGTGCTTAAAATGGAAGTCTTTGACAGAGGTGATTTCCAATAGCTATGACATACAGTTTCTCTAGCATGCTTCAAATTTTACTAGGTTACTGGTCCAGTATTTTGTGCACCACTGAGCAAGTTTTGAAAAAGCTTGTTAGCATGGCATTAGTATCATCACAGACAAATTTTGTCCTTCCATTTACCTGGAAGTCAGACAAGATCCTGGGGAGTAGGTTTTGGTTGGTTTTTTTTCTTTCTAAAATTCTCTTCCTTTAGGTGATACTTGAAAGAATTGGAAAAGCCATGATAGTGCCCAGTAGAAAGTATGTAACCTGATGCTATAAACCATGTGGCATAAAGTTCTTCCGGAGACATTATCAGAGCTTTAGGAAGTAGTGTGGTTTGTGCATCTTCTCATTCAGCTGCTTATGGTAGAAGTTCTCATTACCTTCCACTGGTATACTCAAAAAACAATGCCTTTGGGATCCAGTTAAATAAATACATCTTGTTGGCAGTATTTGATTTCCTTCTTTACCTTCCCTTTTCCAAAAAAATCCCACCCAAACCCATAAAACTTTGCTTCAAAACCTGTGTAATAGTGCAAACTATTAACTATAACGAACTAGCATATCTGTCATGCAAACATTTACAACTAAATGAAAATGTCAAGACACAGTAGAACTTTGTACTGTCTGCATCATATGATAACAAGCATAACAAAGAGAAATGGTTGCCATTTTCTCAAGGACCTTACTCATCTTGTATTGTCTTGTCTCCCTTAAATATTTTCTTTAGAAGAGGTAGCTTTTGTGAAAAATGATGGTTGCTGGGTGTGTGTATGAATTGTCTATATTAAAACATAAGTGGAATGGAATTTAAAATGCATCTTTAACTCAAATCTGGGCATCGAAGGTGAGCTTGTAAATCAATATTAATATGTCTTTCTGAAATTAGTATTAATGTGCTCAATTTGCCTGTATTTAGTCTGATGTTTTCATGTGACTGCTTCCACTGAACAGTTTACAGGTTTGCTTTTGTGCTCTGATTCTTTTCAGAGATGTGAAAATAAAACCAGGCTAATTTGAGCATCCTGAATTTTGTAATAGCAAGTATTTGCAGTGCCCCTGTGAAGACATAGTGGAGAGTGCTCTCAAAAAGAGAAATATTTTTTTGCTTGAATTTTTCCAAACTCAAATGAAAAGCCATTTGGACTTTCCTGAGAAACATGTGTGGATTTATACAGTAATGTACTTGGCTTGCCCCTGAAATCTCTAAACTTTGTGGAAAGTATTGTTTGTGTATTCATATATTTATTGATTTCAAGTTTCTTCACTTCAAACTGGAAATAACATTTGACTCTTAGAGCATGTTCAGTTGTCTCTAGTTTAGTTTTTGTATTTTTGACATTATATTAAGTAATGATTATTAATTCAAGAAATTAGACAGGTTTACTCTTCGCTGGG